CCATTAGACGTAGACAAAGTCGAGGGCATAGCTAGTCAAAAAATGTTCATTTGCAGATATTAAGGACGAGAAAAACCGAACGCTATCGCCCGATGAAACCTATGAAAGGTATCAGAGGCTGATGAAAAAGGAAGCTCTGAAGAGAGAGAGAGAGAGAAAGAAACAGCGGAAAATGTATTTGAAGTTCGGTATCACTACGAAATCACAAGAAAATAGTATATATCGGACGAAGAAAAGGTAGAAAGAGGTTTTTTAATGATAAAGAAGGACGAGCCCCCATGCTTGTCCTTCACTTGATGGTAGGAGTAAAACACCTATGTTGGTATTGGGTATTCCGAAATCCACGGAATCCGGACGGAATTTCAATATTCCGATCACCCATTTCCAGATTTCCAGACGAAGTCGAACATGTTTCGTAATAAATTGACTGGAAAAATGTTGGGCCGTTGATTTTTAGCCGTACATTGCTACCATTACCCCAAGGAGCCCATCAAATCGTTCCTATCAATGTGTAATTCTTCTGAAACCTGTTTAAATTCATCTAGAAATTGGTGGTAGAGGTTTTGAAATTGCGTTTAGGTAATCGCGATTCGGTTTAAGTCTGTGGGTTTCCGGTTGTTTAGAAGCTATGGGCTAAGTATCATCTCTGGATTTCCCTCTCATAAAAAACAAACTACAAATAAGGTTTTGGGCGATGTCAAAACTCAGATAACATTTATATTCGCATAATGTTTTAGCCTTCCTTATCGTTTAACCGACAAACTGTCCTTTCTTGGAGTTAGGTTTTGCCAAGATCTGGCCAGACCTGATGTTCCACTCCACGTCGTCTTTCCAACGTGGGTTCTTCCTACCATGTCTATAAATTTTCAAGCTAAAGTCTTTTTTTTTTGTAGATCACTTGTGTAAAATACGGATACAATTACGATAGTTACTTTTTCTTTTAAATAAAACACTTTAACGGTTTAAAACGCGATACATTTACTAGTTAAACTTGTTTGAGAATTATTTTTAACTACGGCCCGACGTTTCGGATTCATTGCAGCAGCCGTGACCACAGCAAGTTAAAAATAATTCTCAAACAAGTTTAACTAAAATATTTCGCGTTTTAAACCGTTAAAGTGGTTTATTTAAAGTCAGACAGTATTTGGTTTTTCTTTTGTTTTTCAGTCGTTTTCCTCTGCACTACGGTTGGTCGCTTGAAGATTGGCCTCCCAAACCAAAGGGGTATAGACCTCAAAAATAATTTGCATTAATAAATAAGGAAACAAATAAGCTTAACTGTTTAAAACGCGATATATATTAGTTAAACTTATTTGATTCAATTACATTGTTTTAACTGCGGCGTGACATTTCGGGTGCTTTGCAGAAGCCGTGGGGACCGTCACGGGGAGACCGTCGTATATCGATAAGTTTGACTTATTTATATCGCGTTTTAAACCGTTAAAGTGTTTTATTTTAATGTGTACTACTCGCGTAAACTACAGACAAAACAAAACAAAGAGTTGTTAAAAAAAACATTTTATCCCTTTTTTATTTAAATACTGTCGACTCCGAGGCTTATCTATACTAATATATAAGGCTAAAGAGTTTGTTTGATTGAACGCACTAATCTCAGGAACTACGGGTTCGAATTGAAAAATTCTATGTTGGTTAGAGCTTTTTTGAAGAAGGCTATAAAACATCGCGCTGTGACTAATAGGAGCGAAGATACAGCGGGAAATGTGAAAAACACGGAGGAAATTATTAATTTATCTCTCTGGGTTACCGTGTGTATACGCTGCGAAAACGGTTCAAGACAGCCAAAAAATGTATATAGAAGAATGATCCCTCGATGATGCATGAAAAAGTCCGCGACACTATACGTCTATCATTCAAGATTAATTTGCAAGAACGTCGGGTCGCGAGCGACGGGACGCGACCGATGTCGTGCGCAGCTTAAATTTATAAAGATCTAGAGAACTGTATGCCCAAGTATAAAAGAGATAGATATAAAATAAGCAACTTATCAGAGAAAGATATTGAAATCGACCAAGTAGTTGCCGAGATAAGCGCGAAACAAACAAATTAATAAGATACTATCTTAGTATATACATAGATATGTACTATCTATAGTAAGCCTTAGATATTTCTTATCACCTGATAAGACGTAGGGAACTCCGCGAACCGTGGCTTATTATAAATATAATATGTCTAATAATTTTTAACATAAACTATTTTTTATTAAATGCATATAATATAAAAAAAAACTTACAGTTATAGTTAGTACCTCAGTATGTAAATACTAAAAAAAATACTTATATCTTATCGATCAGCTTATCGATTTTTTTTTAATCTTCCCCCCAGATTCGAACCGTAGACGCCTAGAATCCAAGACGAAACTTTCAAAGCGATTAGGAAGTACAATTTTTATCATTAGATAGCGCGCTAAAAATACATACGCGAAGTTACGTCAGTGTGTTAGTCGCGAGCGAAACGTCGTCCTGTGCGCGCGCGTGTTAATATACGACAAAGCAAAACGTGTCTGTTTTTTGTGTATCTGTTCTGTGATTTACGGATTGCGCAATTGTTTCAACGTAAGTATTGACAAGACAATATAATTATATGTTATTATTTACTAATATTTTGTGACGTAACTGTCTAGTAAAACTATATGGAAAAATGTATGTTTGTTAGTTTGTAGATTTCTTAAAACAAGAGTTGCCGGGTTCGAATTCTAGCCTATAAAAAAGCGGACATTTAAATGTGTCTCCCCATCCCTGTTATATAGGTAACAGAGATATATTGTCGTATATTTTAATAATAATCGTAAAGATAAGTGCGTATCTTTAACGCGAAAATATTTCGTTATTCGGTAGCAATAATAAAACTATATCTATCTCTGTCTATCTAATGTGTTTGCATATGTTCTGTTTCACGGAAAACTACTACTTTTAGACGATTAAACGCGTTATTTTAAAATAAAAATTATATAACGCGCATGTTTTTAATAGTTCTACAATTTATGAATAAAAAATCGATTTTACATTTAAAATAATTTACGATACATAAATTATGAAATTACGGACATGAATTAAGGACAGTTAGGGCAAAGTAATTTCAACTTTATTTAACACTTTTTTAGGTTGAAACTGCATTGCGCGAGACATGCATGTATCAAAGAATTGTTAGACAAATAAAATTTTATAGGTTAGGGCAACTGTACGGAATGCTGAGGATGCAGGATGAAGTCCTGCCCGTGTCGTAAATTTTTCCAATCTAAAATTGATTTTTAATTTAAAGCTTCAATTAATTTAGAATGCAAATTCCAATATTCAGTCGTCGCTGTCTCTGCGTCCACGCAGTACCTACCTATATGTTTTCACACTTTATATAGGTATTTCTATTGCCGCTGAACAAACAAGTATTATATTTACTTTTGATTGACACATCTTTTAATATTCTGCATATTTATTTTTCCTTTCGACTATAATTTTTGCAGATTTCACCCAAAAATTATAAGCATTTAAACATTAACAAAATACAAGTCGTTTTGTACGTCTGTTAGTTTAAACATCAATTTGTACTAACGTAACTTTATAGTTGACTAGCTGTGCACGCGACATCGTCCGCGTGGATTAGTGATTTGGGGTAGAATTTTTAATTATTTAAGGGCGCTTATTAATTTATTTAAGGCAGCCAATTTATGTTGTAAGTGCTACTTACTGCCGCAACACTCTCACCTCACATCACCTCTAACCCTAATTCCCATTAACCTACATCACTCCCACTCCCACTCCTATTCCCAAAAAGCCAAAGAAGAAAGTTTTATTCTTATACCTTCAAAGACCACGAATTTCCATACAAACTTTCATCCCCTTTTTCAAACCCTATCAACCCCTATTTGGCATTAAATAGTAGTACATGTCCTTTTTCAGACCTTTGAAAATATATGTGTACCAAATTTCATTTAACTCAGTTCAGTAGTTTCGGAGTTAAAGCCGGACAGACAGACAGGGTTTCTTTCGCTTTCATAATATTAGTAGATATAGATGTTACAAATATACCATAAAACATTAATAATATGCCAAAGTGCTTATATGATAATAGTGGAAACAAACAAATACACAAAACAACAAGCAGTTAAAAATGTTTTATATAGAAATTGTGTATGTCCGTATGTTATTAGATAAATAATGTAAATAGCAATATAAGATTTTTATAAATCGATAAAATATATAAAACTAGCTGTTTCAGCGACTTTGTCCGCGTAAAATAGTTATATTGGACATTAAATTTGTTACCCTCGAACTGTTTACGTAGCGTACGCAATGGAAACCCACAAAAATAAATATTTCCCGCTATTTTTTCGCTTGCATTAAGTATAAAGAATAGCTTTAAAGGATTCTAATAAAAGATAGCTCAGTTAAAACTCATCAAATATCTTATTAGGAAATAAGTACAGTGTTGCGTCCCATGCCCCATATCAGGGTACCGGGTCTAAGTACTTCCCATGTGCTGACAACGTGAACAAAAGCATAGACGAATTAATTGACAAGTGAGATGTTTACACAATTGGGATATTCTGACTTGCGCACGCGCTTATTACATCGCGATTCTGTTAAACGATAATAGGGTTGCCCAAAGTGTATTTGGGTAAAATATAAACAAAATATTGGAGGTATATAAATAAAATATGTCATGTTTAAATTGTATCAATGATTAGATATATATATCTACATGACAAGCGTTATAGAAAATATACTTAATTATTATTACCTTTATCTATGTACTAGGTAATCCGGCGACGTCGTCCGCGTTGAATAGTTATTTTGAAATAAATTTTTACCAACCTCCTCCTTATTTATATATATTATACTTTTATCCACGACTTCGTCTGCGTTCCTGACGTTATTGCAAATTAAATTAAATTTATAAACATATACTGTCGTCGACATTTTTTTAGATCATTTATAGAGGAATCATTTTTACATACATGTATTTTGGTATCTTGAACCGTTTTCTTTGCTGCATACCTAAAAAAATAAATAATTTTGACTGAATTTTTTCCACATTTTCCATTGTTACTTGATTTGATGATTGATTGAGTCACGGACTTTTTATTGCTTCTATAAACAATGTTGCCATACGTAGGTGACATCATTTGTTTCTTTTATTTACATTTTTCGTGGTAGTTATATGTCTTACCTATAGATGGGGGTATTATACAATATGTCAAATTGATTATGAAACATTGTGCAACATATACATTTCTTCTTTATCCGTCAAGGTTGACTAATTTTAGCAAAAATGGATACCCCGCTATTGTAATTTGAAAGAAAAGAAAGAAATCTCACCAGTCACAGATAATACAGATAAGTATAAGCATTCGCAAATAAATACACAGTAGATAATACAGAGAATAGACAAGAAAATGAGAATACTATAGACAATAATGGAGATTAAATATAATTAAAAAAGAAAAGTATTCTGTTCGTAAGTATCAACATGATTTAAATTTTATTCTAAGTTCTGATACGTGCTCTACGATAAAGAAAAGCGAATAGAAGGTATCTGTAAACCAAAAATGTAGCTATACCAACACGTTTCAGCTAGGTAGATTAAAACTAATAAATTGTGTGAGGCTTTCACGGCCATCGTTCAGCATTGTCTTTCTGGCTGTTCGGCCGACGTGAGCGAGGAGAGGTTCTCGACGTTTCGCCATCACGTATGGACGGCATCATCAGGAGATGTTAATCCCTCGATAGCTCGAAGAATTAAAATTCTTATTATTCCTTAAAGTTAGAAAGATATGCTAGATTAAAACCAGTGAGTATAGAGGCGCTTGCGGAGTGATGATAGCGGTGACAAAAAGAATGAATAGTGACTTTTTTAGATTAGCTTATAATGATAGAAAATATGTAAGGACAACAGGTAAGTAGCGGTACTCAGTAGTAGAAATATCGATTTTTTGTGTGCCTTGAACCACTATCGTATAGATAATAAATAGGCTAAGATGTTATATAGGTTTTTGTATTATTATTTACGTCTCTAGTGATTTGCCGGCTAGGGACGATGGGGTCTCTCCTTACTTGTTCAAAAAACACGGTGTTATATTGTTGGGGTATTCAATTTTTCCTCAAGCTTACTCCATGCTGCTCTGTCCTACTTATAAAAAAGTATACTGTATTTACAAAATCTTGTTATCTCTATGTGGGACGGACATATTATTGTGTCTATTCCATTGATAAATAGTATTTAAAGGCC